TGTCAGGACAGTTTTTGATCATATATAATTATCGATCATAGAGTATAGATCAATGATATTCAACGGGGCAGATAATAAATGTAGGGTTATTTGAAAATCACTGTGCTATCTCAAGTAACAGAGTTGCTTTTAAAGAACCAGTGTGTAGGATTTAGTGGCACCTAGCAGTGACTGCAACCATTTTGAATACAACTCCAGCATGTACAAGAAACTACGGCCGCCGCGGAGTATCAGTGTTTGCTTTAACATGGCCACTTCTGTGGAGGATCCACTGCTTCTGTAAATTAAAATGGCTCACTCAATGGTAATGAAAACACAATTCTTATTTTCAGGTGATTATATACTAATGAAAACACTATGGATATTATACTCCATATCTGCCAATAGATCCTCCTAAATGACACACTCTGGACCTTAAAAGCATTATCCTTCCAGCTATATCATTTAGGCATACCTGTTTAGCTTAAAGGAAACAAGAAAGCTGTTAGTTGTGGTATGAATGAGTAAAAATTTGAAAGATAAAAAATGCATTTTGTTAAGAGTCCTGATCCATGTTTTATTTTGTTTCTTTTTTGTGGAGATATTAAGTGGGATGGCATACACAGTACTGACTATTCCAGAGGATGACAATACACCAGTGATGATAACTTAAAGGAACACATCCTTAGGTTAATTCCAAGAATCAGGCATTTATTGTTTTTTTCCATTTCAGAACAGTTTCAAACTGATTTAATAACCCTGAAATTAAACTTAGATACAACAAATAAATAGATTTTGTACGAAATGTAATACCGCCCAGATTACATGTATTATAAACACAATGATATATCTGCTTATAGGAACGATTTTTGTGGTATTATTCAGGCACCCACAGCACTTGAAGGTTCGGGTTAGGGAAAGATTGTGGTATTGGATTAATACGGCAAAAGTCAAAAACATGTTTACTCTTCACCAAGGTGTACTTGTTGACTAAACCTAGCAAGACTCAGGGTGGGTTACTGGGGTCACAATCCTGCTCTTTCAACCACACCAACCTTCTCCCTACAACTAGTGTGGGGCACACACAGGTTCCACACAAGAAAAAAAGTTGCCAGGGAACATTACATTTCCCCTTAGAAAGCAAATGTGACCTGCTCCATCATTTTGAGTCACTTTGACCCAGAAACACATTTTGAGTTTTCTTCATGGCTGTAAAGAGGAAAGTCTCAGCTTTATGGCGATACCAAAATTATTTTTCTACTCCAAAAATTGTATGAGACTCGCCCTTCCAAAGGTTGACTGTCACCAAACCTTGTTTTTGAGAAAAAGCGCTCTAAAGATAGCAATCAACTCAATTCCAAATTAATTGAAAGACATTTTTAGACAGTTTATATTCAAATAAATAAACTTTACTGCTTTACTGCTTTACATAATTATAATCAGAGACATTGTATGCTACCATCGGGTCAGCCACGAGTGGAATATCTTCCTCCTCGCCTCCGTCACACTCACTTTCTTCGCCATCACGATCGGAGCCGGCCGGTGTCGGTAGCGCAAAATACCGGAGGTCGAGCCGCCGCTGTCACTCTCACTCTCAGCTGCCGGTGCGGTGAAAAAGTCCGTAATAAGGTCGATCCAGTTGTCGTAGCATGTCTTACAAGAATTGAATTTAAAAGTCGAGCAATTTCGTCGTCGCCAAAATTAATTTTGTCTAGGTTGTCAATCAGTCAATCAGTCAATCTGTCTCCGTGTCCAACTGACAGTTGACAGATGACGTAGATGACACAAACACGCTAGCCAGTGTTTTGAACTCTGACACCTGTTTCGTTTTATTTATGCTAGCTATATTTATCCTTTGTATTTTACATTAATTTTGACATGGTATGAAAGCTGAGACTTTATTTAATTAGAAACATGTAAAAACTGAAAATAGACCAAAAACGATTTTCTTGTAAAAACGTGTTTCTACACAAACGGGCCGCTGCGACATCCGACTCATTTTGATGGAACGCGTCACAAATTAGAAAAATAATATTAGAAGTAGGGATGGGGCCGATCCGATCCGGTATCGGGACCGATACCAGCGTAATTCACGGATCGGAATTTCCCGATCCAACCTGCGGAGATATCTGTTCCATGAGCCATGTCTGCGCTTCAACGTTGTCTGCTGAAATGACTCCACAAGTGATTCCTGCCGACCAGTCTACTAGCTGGCTGCAAACTGTGGAATGGATTTCCTAAACGGAGGCGCGGCTCAATGTGACACAGAGTTATGAGACACGCCCCGGCTCAGGAAATCCATTCCGCAGTTTGCAGCCAGCTAGCAAAGCCGCGATTCAGAGAGGCGGAAGCTCCCTCGCATCGTTCAACCTACGAACGCAATCAAACATTTAAAAACGCACCACGCGAAAAAGCACAAGGATTTTTTTAGCCAGGGGGCAGGAAGATAAAAGGAGCTGTCAGCAATCACTTCTGGAGTCATTCCAAAAACAAGGTAAACTCCAGGCAGACAACGTGAAAGATGTTTACACTTATTGCACTTTTCTTATATTTCAAATGTTTGACATTTTGGGAATTTAATAAATATTGACATGACAATACATTTGAAACCCTTACAGTTGCATATTTATTTTCAGGATGGGATTTTTCCTGTTGACAGGATTTCCTGTTTTTCTGACTTCCTTTTCTGACCTTATACTTACCTCAAGTTGCCTTTTGGGACATACATGCATACATACGTACATATCATACTTGCCTGTTGGGAGGAGTTTATTTCAGCCTCATATAAAATCAACAATAATGATAATAATAATAGTAAAGCAAACAGAGCTCTGGTATCAGAATAGTATTGGTATCGGCAGATATCCAAATTCAGGAATTGGGATCGGATCGGAAGTGAAAAAATGTGGATCGGTGCATCCCTAATTAGAAGTAATTAGAACAGACAGGGTTGAATTGAAACTCTGAGGGATAAGAAAGGAGAAAATATGTTCCTTTACCTGCATAACAGACTCTGGAATGTTAAAAAAAAAAGACTCAATGCGTCTTTATTGAACACATTGAACATGACAACCAGAAATGACAAATTAAAGAATATTGTCATTATGTGTCTATATTAAAATCATTTCACATATCACACGCTGCTTGAATTTTCCATGGCAACAACTACACTTGCTGCCCTACAGTGTTGACAATAACACTGACACATAAGCTACATTAGTGTGCATTAGCTCAAGTAAACACAAGTTTCTTGAAGCAGAGATTTATTTTACCACAAGATCTACTTAATACTGATCTTTTTTTTCTGTATGTCAAGCAACACCCTCCGAAGCTTTGATAAACTGTCTCGTCAAATGAACAATACGTTTGTGTACTAATGCCATCACAAGTTGTGAAAGAAATTACCCACTAGGACTGGGCAATTGAACAAATATATATTATTGGCAATTTTATTTAGCTAATTGAATAGTCTGTCTCCAAAGAACGAGAGCCACTGCACAGCAACAGACTGTTAGATGGTTAGATACCAGAGTAACCAAGAAATGGGGTAGCACACACACATGAAAATATATCAGTAATCACTGGTTGTTGGGCTGATGGTTGGCAAATCTTAACATATCGCCCAACCCTATTACCCTCAAAACCATATTCCATAGGGCTGTACTGTTCCACAGCTGTTTTGTTTTGGGTCAGTGGTTTCCTGACTCCACATAACAACAACATTAATGTAGTCAGAGCCGTTTTCATCGCAAAGGGAATCCACAAGGAACTCGTTCACCTTTAAAGACTCAGTCAGTCATACAGTAAATCATTTCTCTGCTAAAATGATATCATACAATCCCATGAAGCAAACCTCTCAAAATAACATCTTAATTCAAATGACAGTAAGCAGAGATTATACTCTTATCTAAAAATGCTTTCATATTAGTGAGCTTGTCAAGGAAAGCTGGGAAGCAGGAAAGGGATGAAAAGAGGAAGGAAATTGACCTGAATTATGTGCAATATTGCCACACTGGGAGGGGAATTGAAGCATGTCTCTATGCATGCGCAGCTTCCCCTCAGCACTATCTTTAAAGACCTGCCAATCTTATACAGCTGAAATTCACTTTTAACTGGCATCTGCTACCAAGTCAGTGAGTTGAGACTATAAATGCTAAGATTCCCTCCGTAATGTGGGAACTTAAACATGAAACTACAAGGAGAATCCTCTTAGCACGATCAGTGAACTGTGTAGGAAGAAAGCTGGATTTACACCCCCTCTTTAAATAAATGTCTTTTGAAAAACATGTCAATTTGAAAGGCAGTATAGTAAGAATACTGTTAGAGCAAAGTAATTTGCACTGAAACATTATGCACAATGTTGAGAGCTCACCTGAGAGCAACGTCTCCACGGTCCTCCACTTGAATGAAATCAAACTTTTCTTGAACTAACTCTGAAAGTTCTATAACTATTCACTGACTAAAACAAAACCTATAATTTCTATTATTGAAGGCACTGTGATGGAAAACAATCACCCTTGCAATTCATAAAGATTGCATTATTTGCAATAACAGATTGATACAGCTAAGTATAGTAATGAGTGGTGGGAGTATATAAACAGTAAATATTAATATAATGCCGCATACAGCATTCAAACCGCACAGTCTTGAAGAGATGGAAACTCTTTACAGTAGAAAATATGTTGTGGGAATAAATACAAAATGCATAACTATATTTTGCAAGTAAAGACCTTTGAGCTAGAAAATCATTTTCAAATATTTCAAAATGAGTTTTACTTCTGCTCCATTTAGCAAGAGTTTGTAAAACTGTTCGAGCGGTCCACACCTCACTTTGGCACATCATTTATCAGTAACAAAAGTGTTATGCTGTTGTACAAAGACTTTTCCACCACGCTGGTCCTCTGACAGTTAAAAGAAACATTGCCTTTTCCACATTACAAGTTTCCTCTTGGCAGTGCAGCTACAGTTAACTGAAGACGGGGAGGCCTGAGGGTGTTCGCCTCAGTGCTGGCTGCTCATACCTTCTGTGTCCTGGCCCCAGCTGTGGGTTAGCAAAGAGAGGATTGCCATTCCTGTCCCGAGCCATCTGACGAGCCACCACCCCCGTTGCATCTTCTGTCAAGCCTTATTGCCTGCCCACCTGGACAAAAAAACGGGAGAGAGGATTTTTCATTCATGTCTCACTGAGCCCTCCAGCCCTAATACATGCACATCTGTGGCCAGCACACGCACACACACACACACACACACACACACACACACACACACGCACATCTACCTGCAGCATTATCATCAGGTCAATATTTTTGAAGAACACATTAATCTTATAATCCAACTTTGCTTACAGTAAATAACATAATCCACTGGATTATGTGAATTGATCTGAATCTATGCAGTTACTTCTGGATTACTCCCAAAATCGACTGAATTTTCTAAAACACAGCGATAGTTTGATTTACCATCCACGCAGATCCAAAACTCACTGTTAATGTGTAAAATCTCTATTGTAATTTGCTTGAAATCTATTTAAGGTGAAACCTTTCCTCACTTTTCCTTGGAGGATTCAGAGCAAGAAGCACTAATTGTCCCCTTCCCTAACAGTTAATGCAAAAATATTTGGTGTGCCAGTGAGAGCACAGCCAGTCTTAAGTGGGTGGCTCAGGTGGACAGTGAGCTTTCCCTTTCCCAATCAGTCTGTTTTGTTGCCCACTAGAGCATGTATCCATGCGACAGGTTATAGTGTCGTGACTCATGACTTCAGGACTGAAACTGAAAAATTTTGATGGAAGAGGGACTAAATACAAACATGCTTTAATATACTCAGAATAATGGATTATGCAGTGAGGTATGAGAGAAGCTTCTCTGAAAAATGTGATGTGACTTTTTTCTAGTCTTATCTATTTACAATCCATTTCAGATTTCAGTGGTCAATTTAAGCTGAACACAGCCTCCACCCGAGAAAGAGCCAACGACAAACTTTTTAACCAACTATTTACTGTCTAGCGGGGGTGAATATTATGTTAATGGAATAACTGCACAAACAAACAGACAAACAAAACATCTTTGTATAACGAAAATCACAAACAACCACCACCAGCAGACATTCACTTCCATAAATTATGAACCAAACTACTGACAGAGGGGATTTACAGTAAATACACCTATTCGGGCTCTGGTGGAAATCACAAGCAAAGCAGTGTGCACAGATTGTACGTTGAGCCTTGTCGTGCAGCGCACACACAAATCCATAGCACACAGCCTCCACTCTGAGCTAGAGGAAGGCAAGTTGTCAGTTCAAGGAATATAAAGGATTTTTTAGCTTCTATCTGTCTAAGCTATTTGATGTCACACCTTCCTCACAAGGCTTACTCTCAGAGCAAGCGATAAGCTGTGAAATCAGCTTTCATGGCATATGCTAAGGGGACAAGAGGGGACTCACAAGCATCAACATGATCATATCAAACACTGTTTGACAAAATCAAAATCTCTAATGTATCAGCATTTCTTCATTTGCAAGAACGAGTCCCCCCCATTTCTCTATAAAACAGATTGTAGAGTATGTATTTACTGCACTTGCTTTCTCACAAATCTGTGCAGCCATTTACCTAAACTAGGGATGTCCGATAATATCGGACCTATATTATAGCGTTAGCGCTCTTTTCAGTATTAATACAATGAAAGTTGAAGTTGTTCTCTTATTTTGCACAGACAGTGTTTACATTTGGAAAGCCATGTTGCATTTATGTATGCATCCAGTGGGGCATCACAATACAATTAGGCATAATGTGTTAATTCCACAATAGGAGATATGTTATGTTGTTACCTAACAGTTTTGGTGTAAAAAGCCTGCATATATCAGTATCGGGGGATATTGGTAACGGAAATTGAGAGTTGGACAATATCGGAATATCGGATATCGGCAGAAAAGCCAATATTGAGCATCCCTAACCTAAACACATTTTACACCACTGAACCCCAACAACAGACATCCTGCATGAACACTCTGCGGACGACAAGAGACAGCTGTGTTCTCTTCTCTTACAGTGCAACAACAAGAGTGATTTCACACTGGTTTCCTATTCTCTCACTGCCTTCTCATCTCTCCGGCTCCCAGTGGTGTTCCCTTTTGAAGCAGATCTGATTTCCCACATTCATACATCTATCTTTCTTAAGAGGCCTGAGTAAGATTGCTTTGATCCCTTTCACGGGAGAAAACTCAGTCAGACCTGCACAACCAGCCACCCTGAAGTGGGAAGATATTTCTTTCCATAGCTTCCTCCAAATCTCCTCTTGGTTGACATGGGAACGCTGCATCTCATTTACATAGGCTAACAACGATGTGCCTTCAAACTTAATGAACAGGGAACTGAAGAGATTGCTGACCAAGTGCTGAAAGAAAAGCGTCTCCAATATTCTGGTTCCAAACAGTCCTCTTATAATGGCCCATGAGTCACATCATGAGCAACTATCCGTATTTTTTAACAACAATAAAATGCTTTGATGAAACCCAAAGGGCAACAGTTCAATTCCACTTCACTTTAAAGCACTTAATGTAATCGCAATCAAACCACAACTCCCTCCAAGTTAAAAAGGTTCTGCCAAATAAAAATGCTTGCCTGTATGTCTATACAGTGCCTCTGCCATTATATGTCTTTGGTGAATGGGAAAAAGTGCTTAAACTTAAGATGTAGGGGGTGGTCGAGAAAGAGCAGACGGTGTTAAAGGTAGGGTGGGGAGAGGTGAATGAAGCAATCACAGTTATGGATTACACAGAGAGTGAAGATGCAGTTCTTTATCCCCTAAGTGCAGGGGCTTTGCGCACCCTGAAAGAAAAAAAAAAACAAACAGCTTGTCTCTCTCTTTCTTCCTCTGTCTGTGTTTCTTCGATTGTCTCTCTTCCGGCATCGAATTCTTTTCCCACTTCTTCCTGTTCGTGTGCTTTGGTGTTGACAGACTGTCAGAGATGTCTCAATAACATAAATCATAACTTTTTATTAACTCTTCAAAGCCAAACATGTCATCAACCAAAGGAACCATTGTATTATTTGCTGGAATATCACTGGAGGTTTGGTCATCAGTTTTGATTAAAAGGTATATCAATAGCTAATTTACCTTGCAGCAGATTGAACAAGGTGATTGAACAGATTGAACAAGGTGAAAAAACGTTTCAATTTTAATTTTGCAATTCACGATTTCAAATCAAGATTGTGATTGAAGGCATCCATAGTCTACTATGCAACATTTAATGTTCTGTTTCCCAACTACACATAAGCTCACAGATGAGCCCTGCTACGTGAACAAACCAAAAGAGGAATGTAGGCAACCTGATGGCTACGCTGACTGGATAAATTACTTCACATGGCTGTTCCACGTGTTGTAAGCAACTGAGCTGTGAGTACTTGAAAAGGGTTATTTTATGTGATCTTTTGACTTCTGTTACTAACTTCAAATTAAACTCTTAATTACTGTTTTGAAACCTGTGTAATATCTTTAATGCAATATTGTGTTTTAATGGTGCAAATGGAGAGATTCATAAGCTATTAAAAGTCTGGCTAATAGTCTACAGGACATTTGAAAGCTGAGAAAAAAGATTACAATTTTGATTATGTTTTGGCCAGATGGCCCACCCTTATCACAATTGTACCAGTGCACCAACTGGGATACTGTCTATGCATGAACAAGTTAACAAAACATTACAAAGTTGCTTTTTTTTAAGTGTCTGGAGCAGATAAAACTCTAGTCTTCCAATTCATACGTCTAATAAAACGTAGAGTCAAGGCGTTGTTTATGTGCTCCACCATGTGAGTCATCACACTGGAGGGTGTCATCTGAACAGCAGAGCCACATAACTAGCAGAATTTAATCCCCATGCCCATATTCGGCCACTGTCTATGATGTAAAAAGGACTGTGTGATAAATAATTATGTTTATGCCTTTAAAACTTTTAATTTAATTGCCTGTTTTCTCATTTTCAAAAGCTAATTTTAAGTTAGTTTCGTTTTAAAGAGCTTTTGGGTTTTTGTGTTCATATCCCAAAAAAAAAAATAAACCCAGTTTGCGCTGAAAAATAAAACTTATTTTTTTACTTGCACACAGAGTAGAGAGATGTTCTCAGGTCAATACCACTGGACTAAAAATTCTACCTGCACAGATTGTATCGCTAATCGGCAGCTAAATGTTCCCGTCATGTGGAGGCTCTATGACACTTTGTAGAGCTACTTTGTCTCCATGAATTGTTTTTCCTGTTTTATGTCAAAATACATCTATTCAGCTCTACAAAATAGCTGACATTGCCAGTCAGAGAATGTGGATCTCAGATGGTGACCACTGAAGCGGTGAAGTAATGACACCTTACTGTTGTTTTCCAGCTGTTAAGTGGAGGTGTGGATGCTGCTTCTCTTTGATAGTTGACAGCGGAGGATTTTTGAGTGGGTCAGTCTAAAACCAGTGTCTGTTAAATATGTAGCAGCACAGTCATCACTGTAGCAGAACAAAATGGACCAGAAGCAGAAAAGCTAAGATTCACTGACATAATCTGACTGATGTGCCACTCCAACATTCTCTTATCTTGACTGTAACATATTTCTCTACAGTCAATACTTGTGCTGGGCTTTGTGGTTGAAATCAATATTAGAATATTTAGTACAAGGATATTTACCAATAGATAAGTATCATAGTATGGCAAATATTACATAATAACAAATTACATAAAATAATTTGATTAAATAATCTTCTGCTACAAGCACAGAAGAGGGCTCCATTGTTGTGAATTACATAAGACGTAAAACAACAACTTGGTAGCTTTTATTCAGTTTGTTCAAAGTCATTGCTTTTTGATCAGAAATGCCTATAAATACAGTACATCATGAGCCGGGATTAATTCCCACCAAAAGGATTTGACAAACTAATAAATTCAATTTCCTCAAATTAAGTACCTACAATTATCAAAAGTACTGTCCTAATGCAGGGATACTCAACTTTCTTTGCCCGGGGCCCACTTTTGGAACATGACAAGAAGTCAGGGGACAGTAAATAAACAAACATTAATATGATTAATTAGTTAAAACGAATAAATGTCATTGATATGGCAGAATAAAATGAATTCAACGTCTTAATCTTTTCTTGCTGACCTACCAGGCG